ATTAAAATCCATTACGTCTATTCCACTTAATAATGGCTATACAAACAAGTATTTGCCGGACATGAGAAGCGGTAGCGAAATCTCTGGGTGGGTGACTTCAAAAGAAAGGTTTATGTTACACTGCCATTCAAAGGGGCAAAGGACAACGGAAGATCATGACACCAAATACGCCATGCCAAAAATCGATGCTACAAAGCACCTAAGCTTGCGCTTTTGCCTTAGACCAAAGTACTGCCCCATGAATACAAATTGGATAGGCACAATTCGCAGGCTTCCGTCTCATACGTCTAATTATTTACCACTAGTTGCGTCATCATGTACACTGGTAGAACCGAGATGTAGCTAGCAACTAGGACCATAGGACAATTTCCACAAAATTCAACAAGGTGCATACATAATCAATTCTGCTAGTTATTATGCACATCGCCTGCATGCGCAAATAAGCTAAATTAATGCGGTTAATTTTGATGAAGGTGTCAGTATCATTTATCTGGAATTCTGGTTTGCGTTTGTTCGACTGAACTCACAAATCTTTTCTATAATGTTCAGGTCTATAGCACAGATGACACGTTCCAGCTTTTGATTGGCAATTTTCTGCACAAAGTAATTGAGATGGATTGCGGTGGATGACAAAGATCATTGATTAGACCACGTCAATTGCTAGTTCCTTTAATGATCTCGCCTGGTACCTTAAATCTAAGTTCATGTTATTTGCTGAAGATATCGAGATATGGCAGATACTCAGGGAACCGAACAACCCAAACCGCACCAGCGTTACCAATGCACGGTTTTAAACTTATCTGTTCAGACAACTCCACCATTAGAGACCCAAGTTGGCGATCAATTCAGTTACGCTTTAGGTATGGCTGTGTGTTTGGCATTGGGCACATATGTTCAAACGACATCCAAGGAACGATACCTTGGCGTGCCCATTCAACTTGTCCTTAACTTATCAAGAAGAAGTAAGTCGCAAGTCGGAGTAATGCCGAGAGCATTCCAGTGGCCTGACTTATGCTTTATCCCGAGGAGGCATCGTTCTTACTTGCGCCCTCATAATAAACATATCATCCAAGCTTGGAAACCGTGCTTGGAGTGCAACTTGTACGTGCTAGTAAAACCACCAATCAGGGCTACAAACGGCGTTACGCGACTACAAAATCCGTCCTACCATCAAAAGCCGAACACACTAGGAGTCTTCAGCAAAAACTACCGAAGCTGCACGGATCTTCCATATTGCTGTACCAAATAATGTGTGAACTAATATAGCTTGCCGTTCCATGTTAAACGTACGCCGGGACCACAACTCCAGACAGAACTGACTGAAAGTAAGCGAACTTCTTGCCGATTGGAAACTGGATGCAAGTTTAGCCTCTGCTGTGCCAAACCTTAGATGCTCTAAAACTCAGTTGTTTTCTCTACACCATGCTTAAGTTAATAAATTAGGTTATAAATTAGTCCCCAAAACAATGCTGTCTAAGCATCGCTAATTTGCAAAGTCTTATTCTCGCGTTCCAAACAGATTTATGTCTCACATATTCTAGGGAGATGGTTCATGAACAAGCACCCAGTTAACTAGTTTCTCACGGTGTTCATCAGGTAAAAATTTCACCAAGTGCTCTTAGTTGTTTGCATTTAAGTCCTCAATTACAGAGCGTTTATACAACGGTGCGTCCGCTTAGCAGAGGTCTAAACGTACCACGTTCATGTCTATTATTATTACACTTTTACCAAAGCTTTTCCATGGAAACTTCAAGCAACCGCTTGCGTTAACCATTATAAATCAATGTTCATTGTTTAGAGGTAAAAGCGGACTTTTATTCCGACCTCACAATGACTGGAGCAACGAAATCGTCCACTGGCCACACGAATAAAAATTATATCAGTCTGGAGGTGTCCTACGTTCCTTACATGCACATTATCAAGATTCAGTTTGTAGACGCAGTGTGGTTTTCCAGTGTAAATACGAAACTTATTACTAGTGCTACCATCTGTTTAACAGCCGGCGCACTCATCTGTACTACCTCGCAAATTGCAGCCAGCTGGTTTGTTGATTTGATACATCTTTACCGTGTAATTGGTGCGTACGGGATAATCATAAAATGGCTGTACATTCAAGAGAAATGTAGATGTGTTTATAGATACTGTCGACATTGCACTGACTACATTAAACCACAAAAGCCAATCTGCATCACACCACACAAGTTTTGCCAGGAAATTTAGTTTGAAAGCATTTTAACTCACTTAACTTAATAAATAAACATTGAAGGCGGAAAACATTTTGTTCGGTTCATATTACCGTTGTTAGTAATTTACAGTGTAGTAAAGTGGTTTCTTATCATTTTAAATCACTTAACACCTGTCCGATGGTAATTATTGGGAGTCTACTGGTTTAACAACTATGCTATATTCACCATTATTATAATGTATTGAACTAATAAAGTTAATTAAAAGGATTTACAAGGAGCAACAACATCTCAAGGTAGCACACAATCTCTTGACCTTTAAAATATAAGTCAAAACACCCTCATAGCCAGCTAGGTTATCTTTTGAAAAACGGTGGCACTTCTTATTATTTTATGCAGTGGTCACCTACCTTTGCTGCACACATTTGCAAAGTTGATTTGATGTCCTTCGGTAGCAACAGCTAGCGAGAGTAGATGCAAAGGCCAACGGCACCAGACTGAAAGTTGCTCAGCATTTGTGGGGTAGTTTGAGTGCTCCCGGTTGCTTAGTGCACATTGTGATGTGCAAAATGATGATACTTTCTCAATACATACGTATGTACCACGTTCTGCTCAACGGATGCTATGCTATTAAGCATTGTACTAAGCACTATACTGTAGCTACAGCGGTGTGCGCATCTACACATAAGAATACTCATAATAATTTTAGCGGTGAACCGATTATTTTGTTTCTGGCATCCAAGAATCATCCAACGTAAAGATTGTCTGTCAGTTCATTTTTCTGCCTAAGCGAAATATGTGAGCTTTATCAAATCGCTTGCTAGATGCAGAATCAAGCGCACTCCTCCAGGTGTGAATGCCACTGTTAGCGCTTTAATTCCCAGTCCCATAGACGTAGTCAACCTCGAGACGTTAGTTATATTTAATGCCATTCCCCGAGCAACATTTGTAATGAGGTAGTGTAAGAATCTACTGGGCGCGTGTAGCAATTTATAGCCTAAAGTAAGCTGTTGGAAGAGACGAGACAAGAAGACTGTAGGCCATGAAGTTATAATCTATGCGCGGTTTAAGCTTACTAACTAAAACGTAAACCTCAGTTCACTTGGATTCATTCATTTAAGTAAATTATGTATACAATACATTGCATGGTTTGGTATAATAGAAGGGAATAAATGACAGATCTTTCGCTGAAGATCTGCAATCAGCGTTGTTTTACAGCACCCATATCTATCAGTATATAAGTTAAGGGTAGGAGACATTCGTAGCAAGATAGTGCGCGACAATAAAAGGTAATTGTACGAAGTAAGTCAACCATCCGTCCCTTTAATATTGTGAGTGTTGGATTCAGGGAGAGCATTCCACGAGGAACATCTATGAATAAAAGAGCAAATCCTGCGGCCATGCATATGTCTAGAGTGTAGTGCGATATTCGATGAGTTACGTTTTATTTTGTGTTAATTCTGAGCTGCAATGGGGAGTCGACACAATCATGTGGATCCTGCCGAATCCAGGGGCCATCATCAGTTACATCGAAAACTACAGTACTGTCTAGTAAATAGCCAAATTTTCTCCACTCCTACCAGTATGGAAGATTGTGCATTCCACTGACTTATTTGAATGCATTGCGTCTAGGCTGCTTCGGTGCAGTGTGAACTGCTCTACGCATGAATACCAAGCTCTCCTCGCGAACCAGTTCACTGGATGCCCTTTGGATAATGGAGGTCTATTTTTCGAAAATCCCAACACAACAAACTGCTGTTTTGGTTACCATGTTTCAATGTCTGTATGATTCGCTTAACCAACTCAGTTCATCCTAAAACAACGCATCCAGTTCATTTTTGGCGAAAGAATGCTTGTGTACATGCGGTCCATATAGTATATGTAACTAGTTGGTTGTCTTAGGCAGCTTAACCTGCGTTTACTCATGTTGAAATTCATAAGGCTTTGAAATGACTTCCGATCTACCATGTCTACTTCACCCTGATATAGATGCAGGTTCGGCGTGCAGCTGAATCATGCCATAATGCGTGCAGGATTGCCCGAGCGATGTCATTAATAAAAATCAATACAAGCGTACCACCAACTAGTCCGTGAGGCACACCATCCTGGACTTGCATGGCGACAGGTATTCAGCGCAGCGCACTGACTACTAATTGCTGGTGTAGCAGTAAGTTGACGACCGGGTTGGTTTAAACAAATTCTGTGATACTTCACCATGAGTTATTTCTTACAACAGCTGCTATGGTTAAACAATAACCTAAACTCGCCATCATTCGCTGTTTCTTGCACGATTCAGTAATGAATTCTAGATGAGCTTAGAAGTTCTTTTGCAGATTTCGAGCGATTGTACTGGTAACGAGGTACTTTTATCAGGAAATTCTGTTTATCCGCAAGCACCCGATAAATGTTTGCAAAAACTGGCCATAAAGTCATAGAGCTAAGTAATAATTTTCCCACCACATACCGGGTAAACATAAGTTCACCTAAATTGTAAAATACTACATTATTCAATAGAAGTGTTAGCCGTTAGCTTCAAAGGTATATTTAGGAATGGAAGCAAATTCTTTTGCAAAAGCTTTTATGCAGTACATTCGTCAGCCAATACGCAACATGCAGATTGATTTTAATGTTAACAAAGTTGCATTTAATAATTGTGGATGTCAGAATTTAAAAATAAAAGGCACGATTTTATTTTGTCTTGCGCGCTACCATGCATTCTGAGGTAATACAATTTTCGTACCAACTTGTTTTTCTATTTAATAACCCTTCATATACGTAGCAACTGCCACGTTGACAAGGCACTTATCCGGGTTTTCCTTATTCATTTGTACCATAAGTTGCTGCTGTACCTCCCAAACGGATGCGTTTCCTTGTTGTACCGTGACAATGGCACTTCCATAGTTGGAATCCACCGCGGTGAGGTTGCATTGCTTTATCATTCCGTTCGCTAGAGAGTTGAGCTGCAGGAAAGCAAAAGAAATGAACGTGAGTTGAGCCATCTTCTTAGTTATTAACAGCAATGTTAAATGATTTCACATTTGCAACTATTTTAAATGGTTGTTTTGCAACCAACTAATTTTTATCAAAGGCGTGTAAGAGTTTTCAATTACATACCTTTCGGCATACTTTTGGCGTGTATATAACCCTTCGCTGTGTTATACCAATTATTGACGTGGCGAAAGTCAACACAAATTCTGGTGAAGTAGAACAAATAGGATAAACGTTCTTAGCAAATCGTCAATTAACTGTGCAAACTATACTAACTTTAGGTAAGATACAACAAGTTAAACCGTAGCCCGACTGTACGAATGGTACTGTGAAGGCATGGAGAACTAACTAGTTTGACTTCGATCGATTGAACGTAAGTAGAATTAGCTGCGCTTAAAATTTCCAAACGGTTTAGTACTCAAACGGCTTCTAGATTCACTTACCGTATTCCATTACCTTCGTAACTACTTCAGATGGAACTGAATGGAAATGGTGCAAGTGGTATTTGATAAATATCAATTCGACAATCGTTACAAGTATTCAATACTTCGTTGCCAAACGTTGCGTGGGTTCCTTGAACATCCCATATGATCTTAGCTCATAGGGACAACGACGGTGCTAAGCTTACTAGATCTACTCCTTTGCCTTCGTTTGGTTTTGTGTCTGAATTAACAAAGCAGTCACATTTCTCCAAGGGAAGCGTTTAGCAAACTAGGTAAGGCACTGACGCCGAAAGTGTAACAAATGAAATGTATGCCAGCGTTTACTACAGCAGGTTGCCATTTCAATTATTAATTTATGTGCACAGTTTAGAGAGTAGATAAAATTTGGAGGATACATTTCATACAGGCTTAGTGAATGAACTGTACCGGCTTGTACCTGCACGTATGAAACGGCCCTAGTTCAGCAAGCATAGTAAAAATCACAAAACTACCTAGGTTTTGCTTAACAGGCTCGTGTTTTTAAAGTTTAGGACACGTCATATCCAGGATATGTATACGCAAAAGCACGTACTCTCAATGCTTCTTAATATATACGATGCATAACAACAACAGGGCAGCATCCTACATCATCGTCAATTATGCATAGAAACAAGTGTGGAAGATACATTAGTAAACTTTGTTTTTGGCTACATATATAACCTAATATTGCGCTGGATAACACATAAATAGGCGGAAGTGACAAATGTACTTTGAACAAATGCATGATGGAGAGAAGCTTTTCTCACAAACGCAGGCCCACGTCCTGCAAATGAGCAAAGCGGGGTTTATTGTATGGTGTTTACACTAGGTGCTATGTTTCATTAAGCTTGTGTAAACTTTAGTGAGCCAAAGTTAAGCAGTATGCTGTCATTATTATTTCGACGTCTGATGATTCACTGTACGTTTTAATTGCAAAGTAAACCTGCTTAGTAAAGTAGCAATTCTCATTACAGAAGAGCATATATGGAAATAAGGTATTTTATCTATCCTATTGTTGTAGGCTTTATTATGCCAATGGAAGGTTGCTCCCACACGATGTTCCTAGGCAAATGCTTATACACACTAACCGCCAAGGGACGCAAAAGTACTAAAACTATGCTCACCGACACCCGCAGATTACTATCATCCAATTTTTGCAGTGCAGATTCGCAACGTTTGAGAGGCAGGAACTCATTAAAATGATTGACAATATATAAGTGATGTTCACAATTACCCACATTACATACGTATGGAATGGGCTACGTTGCGGGACGAAATATTATGTTCTGACAAACATATGTAATAGAAGTACACAACGGTTCCAAGAAACTTCTTTTCTATACATCTTATTCGACATTAAAACTGTTAGTGTAAAATTAGATAACCGGTTGGCTAATAAATCCTAGATCATGTTAGAAAGGACCATGAAATCCTCAAAATCTATTGGATCAGCACTGTTCGGTAACAGTCGTTGCTACATTTTCTTGTAATATAATTCCGGATAGTATACAAGACAACGAGTGTTTCATCTATCTGAGTCTGTTGTCCCATTTCAAAAATGTTCAAGTACCGGACTATTGATGTTCCATGCTGTGCCTTTCCGTAGGGAAGCAACGTTGTGTTCGGAGATCATTTAACAAAGGTGCCTTAACGTACGTCTAGGAAAACTTGTATCACAGATAGGAAATATACGGACTGGATCAAGAGTCTGTCCACCTATTCTTTAGAAACGCTTGTTCCCAGGGCCGTAGCAAACGCAGTATTATATGTTATATGATAATATATGTTATATTATGTTATATGTTTTGTTATATGGTAACTTAACTGTAAACAACGGACGATGGTACACACCTTAATACTACCTTGGCCATAAATGCACTCCGGTGATGATTCCTCATTTCAAACTTGACTGGCGACCAGCGTTTGTCACCTCAGTGCTGTTTGCTGTCCCGTACCGTGTGTGATTGGTTCAAACGGCCTACCTCGATAAATAAGGCACTGCTCGATATAAAGCCATACCAAACCAATAGGTCATGTTATATTCTTGGTTCCTTTACTTATAACCTTAGTATTCATCAAGTAATCAGCTTTTATTCTGCTCCATAATTTTAGATGACTGATAAGGTTTATCAGAAAAAATGAGGCTGATGTTTGCACAAACGTGAATATTATATTTCATATGAAATATTCGGTGAAATGTATATGTAGTCTAATCTGAGTAAGAATTATCCTAGGTAAATGGCTGCGGGTTTTTGTGTAGCTTCCTGGTCAGGTAGTTCTTGACGTACTTAGTAACGGACTTGAAGGCCGTTTCGTTCTAACGTAATTCATGACCATTGCACAGTGTTAGAAGATGTTTGCTAGTGGTGAAAATTGTATGTTGGCGGGTGTTCAATGCTGACTAAGGGGAAGGAGTAGCACTTTTGTTATAAGTGCATATGATGCTTTTTGAACAAATGAACACCTTACATGGCAATATTTTATACTGCTTACACATTTAAAGACGTCGAATACAGGTACGCACGTAGGTTTGTTGACATGTTGCTTAGACGTATAGTGACGATAGAAACACAGACATCAAAAAATATCGATATTGTTTGTTAGTTTCACCACTATTTGTATAGGCCATTTTTGAAATCACTTTCTGCTCCCAGTTATTTAACTAATTTACCATATAAACAACTTCAGTATTGTTTTTGCTTGAGGTAATTAAATCATACAGATTATTTATGAATGTTTGGTGATCCATGATCCTTGGGTCAGTTTATTATTGTAGTATATCCATTCAATGTTAGACGCAACCTTAGCAAAGGCCATGAAATTATTGTGAAATACGTTGTGCTGCTTAAATTATAAGAATCCAATTTTGGCAAATATTTTACTTGCGTACCGTAGGAAGCCGCCATTTTTCGTACTTGTACAGGAAAACTGCAAACTTTTCCACGCCACATTAACTTGTTGGCTAGCCCTAAATGTAATTGTTCCACGATATATGGTTCCTTCGATTGAACTGCCATCAATAAGTTTATCTTCGCTACGTAGTTCGGAGGATTGAGAATCGCCTCCTCGTAGAATTCCAGACGACATTTCGTGCTGGGCTGCAATAAAGTAATGTTACAATTAAATCGTTCGGTTCAAATCTTTCAGGCCAAGGTGAGTATATTTATTCAGTTATACAACTGTATGTGTTTGATAAATTAGCCTACGCTTAGTTAGGATGTAACCAATTATTCTCATGGGCACAAGATGTTGGTCAAATACTGCATTAAATACCCAAGCGGATCACTTACTTTCAAAGTTTCATCAACGGCCTGCGTAGAAAAATGCACAAAGCAAGGAATATTCTGGGTAAAATTAGTTACTGTTGCTTTGTACGAGAAGGTGTTCTAAACTGAGGGTAGAAATTTTGTGTTGTCCATCAAGACACACTCTACTTAAGGGCGCGGTTTGATGTTGCTTCGTTTAAGCAGAGGAAGATAGCAGGCATTTATCCCGTGACCCATGGGGTATTGGTCATTACCGCTATCCTTGAGTCACTAAGTCACAAAGAGCAACGCCTGGCACAACGGTTAATGGCTGAGTAGATTGTTACTTTTGGTAATGTACTTTATGTATGCGGATCGCGCGGCTTAATCACAAATTTGACCGCCATTCCCATTGGCCTGAATTTTGGTCATTTGAGCGGTAGGACCGTAGCTTATTATGCAGAAGGAAACTAGGTGTTGGCTGCCTAAAGACATTTAACCCCATGGCGCGTTTCGAACTATTTTCTCTCATCAGATAATGATAGCAGGCATCAAATGTTAGACAATTACAGTATTAGTCATGAACGCTACCACAAATCACGGGGTCAAAACGGACTACGCTTGGAGCAACGACTGATGATTGATTACTCTATGTCGTTTCTCGAAGTACACGCTGTTCGCTTAGATAGGGACTAGCAACCTCCATGTAATTAGGGTATTCTTTCTTTTTTGATTAAGGCGAACTACCGACCAAGTGCGCATGAAACAAACTCAAATATCCTTCGTCTAAACTGTGTGTTTATTTTTGCCTTAACATAAGTAGTATCCGTCAACGATTCTCTAATCTATTTATCATCTGGTGACACATTGCAAATACTTAAGTTTTAACTATTTACCACAAAGTGGAAGGACTTTGCTCAGCAGTAGTTAAGATATTCTTAAGCAACTCGCAACGGAGAACTACTTTCCACATTCCCTAATAATTGGTTAGGAGCTGCACAATTTTGCAAGCCTCAGCCATAGGTTTCTTTTATGTGAAAAATAGTAGCCGCGTTTAAAATCATTGAACTTCCGTATTGAAAGCGCAGCCTAATTACATATACAATAAGTTTGACAAAAACATCGCTACTCTATACACGGTTTATACGTAAATGGCCTTTTGCATTTTCATCAGCGTGGCCAGCGTGCCGTCATAAAAGTTAAAGTGCAACCGTTCATCCTTAAATCCAAAATAGTCAATCAAACCGCTTGTTTAGGAATCTTGAAAACCGTTCACCTCGTCTATGAGGAAAGCCTGATGGAACAAGTAAACAAGGCGCTTTAGCTCCATACAGAGCTATCAAATTGGTAAGAGATGGGATCCCCTATTTCGGATCAGTTCCGACGATCCATGATTTACCAGCCGTTATTTTAACAGTAAGCGAATAAGTCAAGTTTTGTTGCTCAACTGTATCTGTATCCAACACTCACATCTCATTGTACTCAACTACTTGATAAGTATCCGACAGCATATTGCAAATCCGCGCTGAACATCAGCCAGTAAGTTTGGCTTCTCAAAGGTATTCCCTCCTAATAGTAGGCGCCTTAAATTTCACCAGCTTAAACTTTATAGCTTGATGTAAACTATTTTGCAGTGAATGAGTCAATTGCATTCATTCGCTAAAGGATATCGCAACCCAATAGTTACCTCGGTCCGTTAGTGTATTCAATCAAACGTGAACGTACATTTTCCAAAAGCTTTGTGCAGAAATCGTTGAATCTTCGTTTCACTAGCACAATCGTGTCTACATCTTCAAAACAAAAATAAATGTTCATATACGTTACGAAATAATCTGTTGCCAATTTAAGTATAACGTAATTAGTTGGAAGAACAACTGGTAGTTAATTTTGATTTTCTATGCAGGACAAAATAGTTGAAATACTCGTATCATTTCACTTCATATACGCAACTAAACGAGCTGGGTAGTACATCAGAAAATTTTACATAGGCTCACTAGAAACACAATCGGTAGACTGGACAACAGGAAAAAGGCGACTCACATAGCACTTGGTCGTTAATTGCTGTTGGACAAATGAGGTCGCATGTAAATTTAATTGCTAATCATTTATTATTTTTCAAAAGGGGTATAATTTGCACTCATGCCTATTTGTTGTATTAAATTGAAACACACGGTTAAAGTGAAGTTTCAGTTTTATCAGTTATTTGGATATTTGAGTGGCTAGGGACCATAGATAAAGGCCTGAGTAACGTTAGGGTCATTTTGAAGTACTCGTTGTGTGGATGCTTTGTGACGCAAAACCTCAGTGCAGTCGCTATCCATATTGCAATGAACCGTTGACGAGAACACAGGGAACGTAAGAGAATCAGATAGAAACCGCGTTGCCCACTCGAAAGTATCGCACAAAATGCAGCGTTTTAAACTCATCTGATATCATCACGCTGCGCACCTGAATCAGTTACTACGTTAGCTACCAGATAAAGGGAACTATTTAACTGGTTGTAACACTTGTGCGTAAACAGTCGTAGCAAATATAATAATTTTATTTTGTCGGCTAAGAGGAATTAAAGTGGCTTAGGTGAAAGCAAATACTTACACAACCGCTTTGGCCAATACATTCCAACGATTTGCAGATTTATTGCTTTTGAATCGTAAGCGATATTTTTGATAAATCGCGCTGGACCACTCCAGTTTTCAGGAAATTCCCAAGTGACATTGTGCTTGTTTTGATAACTTGTAATGCAGGTGTATGCATTTGCCTCGTCTTTTATTGACGTACAACTTGTGCGCACCGTGGCGCCAGTTTTGTTGGCGACATGGAAGAACTATATCCCAAATCGGACACCAGACAGTAGGATAGCAGTAGATCCATATGGAGGAATCGGCATGCGGTGAGGGAAAATAATTTATGAAGCACACAAGGTATTAAATACATAACTAGCGTAACGCGATAAGGTGAATAATAAACAGTCAAAATACAACTTTCCTACATTACATCATTATATGACCGCAGACATAAAACTCAAACAGTTTAAAAACCTGAAGCAGTATGTAGTGTTAATCGTTGTTTAAACTGCGGTCAACGAAAGTGACACGGCGCTATGGTCATTTGTTTTACTAATCCAGGATAATCGTTAAAGTTTTGCAAAGCTGAACTCACAAGGTTTTGCACGGTTTCCTCAGCACGCGATTCAGTGACAATGTTTATTTCAAACTCTGTAAAGTTAAAGCGAATATGAGCGGACACAAAAACCGATGTTGTTAGCAGATGCGGTTGTGTTTTGACCGTTATAAGTGTAGGTGAACCCCTTTATTCTCGGCAAAAGAACGCAAAGAGGTTAGTTTGTGATCCTTATCAAGCCACGACTTAAATCTACAGGCCAACTTGTATGCTTCGTCGACACATGGTTTTGCAAGCAATGTTTCCGAGGAAAGAAACAATACTTACTGGAAACAAAACAACTTAGGTAGTTTCTTGGTCAGCAAACCAAATCTCAGTTCTAGCAAGTCTGCTTCGGTGTATATTGTGGGGCGTGAATTACATGCACTTATGTTTATAAGGATGCTGGATACATTCGGAGCTACGTGCTCTTTCCACTACTTTGAAATATTTGGCCTAGGATATTGGCTATTTATCTCATCATCATGCCAAGGGAACATATGCGAATACCTCGAAGACTATACAAAAATTTAGTTAAAAATATCAATGAGACTAATAAAACTGGATAGGTAGTGAGCTGGTTTTATAAATTTATTGGATATGGTTACTGGCACCATGCCGACAGTACCCTAACAACCAAATTGACAAGCAGCTGTGATTTGTCGTGAAAATTTTATCTGCAATCACACTCAGTACCTGTTCACATAGATGTTGTACAGGTAATACTGAAGCAGTTCGTATCGCTACGGTCATTAAGCAGGTAGCAGGTAGACAGTGTGTTTATGCCAAAATATTCAGTATTTACAAAATGCCCGTTGTATTAGGGACAAGAAAATAGGAATCATTTGCACTCACCAAACTGCCCTTGCTTGACGCAATTTACTACAAGTACAAATTATAAATTAAAGGGTATCAATGAGCGACAAGTGTACTCACATGTTAGAGAGAATGGATTAGGTGTTCATGCAGCATTTTACATAAATGTGCTTCGTAATGTTTTTATGCAAATAAACAACTTCACCGGCATATCAAAATGTCTGCCCTGGAGATGCAACACTACGCGCGTTTATTTTACCTAGGCCATGAAGTGCGAAATATGGAACAGATAAGGTAAGACATTGCTATATATTTTTAACTCACCTTCCGTAAACTTGGATTGGGAAATTGAAGGAATCATTCTTGATGTACCAATCTGTAGCAGCTGTCCATTTACTTGTGTGGAAGTTTTGACAAAACACACGCAGATTAACTCCTTCCTTCTCGAATCGTAACGCCACCTGTATAGATCGCAACTTCCATTCGAAGTATAATCCAAACTTGACCGCTGAATGATGCAAGGTTACAAGAAGCAAATTACATCCTCCTAAGTATTGCGAACATTTGTAGCTGGGGGTGTCGATGAACGGTTGATGTGCTCACCGGTCTAAACAATTTTGTGGCAGCCGTTTTATTGCCAAGCTAAACAATTTCCTCAATGCGGCCATTAGGTACTCATTTGCAGAGCTTCGTAAACCACTGCCATAACCAGGAGATGATCAAAAATCATTTGGATCTGGCATTGGCTTACGCGTCTCTGCGAATGAGTACCTTTTAGTCACACTGAGGAAATTGCTTAGCTTGGCAATCAAACGTCTGCAACGATATTGCCCAGCCGGGAAAACATAGAAACCCTCTCCGATTTTTCTGTTATCT